AAGTTCCTGCCTCCAGGTCCTGCCTGACTTGAGTTCCTGGCCTGATTTCCCTCAGTGAAGGACTATTATATGGAAGCATAAGCTGAAATAAACACTTTCCTCCCAATAGTTTTGGCTATTGTCTTTATCAAAGCAATAGAAGTCTAACAAAAACAGGGGCAGCTATAGTGGGAAATTACCAATACGGAGTCAGGTAGAAACACAAGGGTGTTTAATAGGGAAAAGCCTTACTTACAGAGCGACCTAGCCAGCGGCAGCAATCTGTACGCAAGCCCAAAAGAGAAACTGAAAGCGAAAACGAAGTCACCCTACGTCCCCTGACTACGCCCTGTGAGGGCGTGGTCAGGCACACCTGTAGCCAGCCCCTAAGTAGGCATGGCTACAGCTTTCCCTACAATTCTCCCTTTAGTCTAAAAGAGGATTAAAACCTAACTCTGCATCTGGTTGAAATTTACCTCTTGAAATTTCTCCTAGTCATCAATTCTTATAAAACTGGTAATACCTCAGTGGGAACAGCTGAATCACCAAGTCCTCACCACTGTCTTATTGTCCTATTTTGCCCGCATTTTACATTCTTTGAATGTGAAATATCTCCCATAAACTCATATGTCTACACAACTGGTTCCAGCTACAGACACTGTTTTAAAAGCTATAAAATGTTTGGAAGGTAGAACCTCACTAGCATGTCAGAACCCATGAAAAGGAGTCCATTTCATCTTGCCTCAAGTTCAGAGAGTTCAAATATGTCTAACTACTTATAAGACTTAGCTTGGTGGGTACAGGATGTTTTGGCCTTGGTAGTGGGTGTCTCTACCTAAATAACAACAGACTTGGGACCAGGTGTGTTTACTCTCGACCCTGAAGGCTGGATGGAGGGTGTGGCTACCAAGTACCTGGAAAATTAAGGGAAGTTAGTCTATTATTATCATGTATAAGTTGCCCCTTATACATGATAATAGAAGTCTTATTCCATTGTCCCCACTTTTGGTTGGGTATTTAAGTAGGCTGAAGAATAACCTGGGAACGTTCAGTGGCATTCAGTATTAATTGAGTCTGCCCTGCTGGCATCTATTTTGTGTCTCCGTCTTGTCTCTTAACTCCTTTAGCTAGCTTTTCTTTATCCACACTCCCCCTCTCAGGTATGAACCATGGGCTGCCAGGCTGGCTCCAACTGTAGCCCCCAAAACACATGCTCCCACAAATGGCACAGCTAGAGAAAGTTGGTAACTTTTGCTGGGATCCGGATTCCTGTTTGCTTCTGGCAGATGCATACAGCATGAGTACAAGGTGCCCAGTTGCCTCATGCCCATGCTATTGGGCCTTCCCCATCACAAATGAACTGTATCCCTTCTTAAATTCAAATATGAAAGAAAACCTTCTTTCTTAAGTTGTTTTTTCAAGTATTTTGTCACAGCAATAGTAAGCAACTAATATAAATATATACACAAGCATACATACATATAGACATATAGATATGCTAAAAGTAATAACACTTGATAATCATTAGTTTTGAGAAAAAAATTTTGTTTTAGCTAAAGTATATTGAATAGTTATATCCAGGTATAACATTTTAAAAGAGTATCATAGCATGCCCATGGGTTTACTGTGAAGAACTCTGATCCATAGTCAGGAACTTGAGCATTGATGGAGCCTGATGGCCTTATCAGTCATTCTCAACTTGGCAGTATATTCTTAGCCTTCTATAGACATGAAGGCAATAAGAGCAGAAGGCTCAACAGTGAAAACGAACATGCTATTCCAATGAAAACTTTTGACTATAAGAGGCCACCTGCCTAAAACCTCAGCACATTCTATTCAATGTTGCTGTGACTTCAAACTGCCCTTAATAAGGATCATGAATGGGGAAAAAAAAAGGGTCAAGGAGTAGGCATAGTACATAATAATGCTTGTAAGCGTGGCAACCTGGGTTCTAGTTCCCAGCTTCCACCCAAAATGTATGCCTGTAATCACAACATGCTGTTGGAAGAATGAGCTCCCAAGTCAGTCAGCCTTGCCAAAAGTGTATGCTGACATTTCAGTAAGCCTTCCTGTCTCAAGGAAATAAGGAGAAACTGAGGAAGACACCTGCTATCCTGCTCTTACATCTGAATTCACATGCCCTGTGCACGTGTGATTGCACACACACACACACACACACACACACACACACACACACACACACACACACACACATTAAACATGCACACACAAAGAATAAGTAAATGGTAAATGGTAATGTCTAACACCCAACTCCCAGGCCTGGTAATTTGATTTAATTTGTGTTGTTGACACAGAGGCTGGATTTTTGAACGTGCCCAAATCATTCTGTGTTGTGATGGGTGACTCTGCTGTCAGTGGCCAGGAATCATGACACCAGGCTGTTTTATCTGTCTGAAGAACAGAGGTGTTCACTTGCAGCCATTCAAGTATCTAGATCAAGAGCAAATATCTGAGGGTAGGGAGAGCTCAGTTCAGAATATGCTGCCATGAGTTCTTTGAAGACCAAAGTTCAGATTCACAGAACCTGCATAAAAGACACACTCAGCAGTGCTTATCTGTAACTCAGTGCTGAAAACATAGGGTGGAGGCAATGGGTTCCTAGAGCTTCTTGGCTGGCCAGCCTAACCTCCAGGTTCAGATGAAAGACTGCACCTCACAAGATAAGGTAGAAAAAAAATAAAGAAGAACCCCGACATGAATCTCTGGCTTCCACATGCATGTGCACCCATGTATAACACACACACACACACACACACACACACACACACACACACGTGCGTGCGTGCACGAGCACACATTCAGGCACACACACAAGTAATATTATTAAATAATTAAATAATGTAAGAAAAATATTAAAAAATTTGATGGAAAAAAATTCCATTGACTAGAAAGTTGCTCTCACCTCTCTCTCTCTCTCTCTCTCTCTCTCTCTCTCTCTCTCTCTGTGTGTGTGTGTGTGTGTGTGTGTGTGTGTGTGTGTGTGTAGTGGTAGTAGCAGTAATAATAGTAGTAGTAATAGTAGTAGTAGTAATAGTAGTAGTGGACCAGAGTTTAGATCATATGTAGCTCTTCACTGTAAGACAGGATCTCTCATTAGACCTGAAACAAAGGGTTTAGCTAGGCTGGCTGACCAGTGAACACCAGGGTAGGTGTTCTTCAGGGGTAGGTGTCTCAAAGTATTCAAATTCATAACATAATGTTTTTCTGATAATGCTGCCTGAGATTTAAAGTAAAAAAAATCAAAACTGACAAACTAGAAAACAAAAAGCAATGCAATGGTAAGAGGAAATGAACACTAAGTGTGTAGCTTTGCTCTAAGAAAAACCTATGAGCAGTTACAAGAGTTTGATAACTCTGAGACGAAAGAAATATAAACAAATATAGACAAAAACAGAATGACAAACCCTGGTGTTTCAGAAGCTGATATAGTTATGAAATAAAACCTGGGGTAGCTTTGTCCTACTGATGCAGCACCTAAAATTTAACAGCAACAATCACTGGCGTGACCCAATATCATGCAAAGGAGTAGTTCTTGTCTAGAAGCTAAGGAAACATCAGAACATGTAACAACTGCAAACTCAGTGTGTCCAATACTATTTGACCAGAGTTTAAGGAACATACCAGATAACTTCAGTTACAGAGGAGCAAGCACTCAAAAAATGAAGAGACTACAAATCACAGCATTTCTTTTTTCTGATCCTGATTCTATAGAATAGGAAACTTTTACTAAAATACCAACTGCTCTTTCACTTAGAATTGGTTTCTACTACCATGTAAATGACCACACATTTATAGTTTTTCTTCTTAAGAAGAACACTTTCTTTTTTCAGAAAAATAGTTTTGAAAAGAATGAAAAGGCAATCGGAATACAATAGAGAATCTCAAGTCCCTGTCAACATGGCCCCTCTGATTAATGGTTGGATGGTGACTGTATTGTTCAACTGTTGACCATGCAGTTCTGGGCAGTCCAATGGGCAATTGTTCACGAGAACATTTACTTCCCCTTCCACTGACAACCCCAGTCTGTATATATTTATAAAGCTGTCCTATATGAAGTGCACACAGGTCAAGGAGCCTCTGGTGACATGATGCTTGAATCTGCCAAGTATTTCAGCCACAGTTATCAAACCAGGTAAATCATAGGTCCGGTGTTTTGAAACTGCCCCATCCCAGCACCCCCAAAATCATATAGTATAGTTGTTACTCATAACCTAAATACTTGGCTCTTCTTTCTTTCATTTTCTATGTCCTTATCTCATCTCAATACATGTACATACAGACATATACACATGCATACGCATACAGGTACACACATGGGTCCATATACATACATTGAGACCCAGACACACATGCATACATGCACACATATGTAAGTCTGTAAGTTGGAAATCAGCATATATGATACATACACACACATATGCACATACATACAAGCACACATCACACACCTTGAAACTTGACTGTCAGTTGCATATATCATACATACTAATGCGTCATTTATGTTATCTAATATCCTGCCATTTACCAGGAATAAGTTAGTTAATATTTTCTCCTTCCTGGACAGTGCGCATCGTGAAAGGGTGCACACAAAAAATGCAAACCAGTTACTAGATGACTGGGGAATACTGCATAAAAATTTAGTTTAGAATAATGGGACCTTTTTCTTCATGCTGATTCTGGCTCTTAACTCCTGCTACATAGTTCAAATGGTCCTGAAGAGCAGAGGGTCTTCTGTCTCATGAGGGTGGGGTCACCAACCATTCCCAACTTAGACATCAAATTCCTTTCTTCTTTTTTTTTCTTACTTAGTTTTTATTTCATAATCATAAACTTAACTCTGCAATCCAGCTAGACTTGGAGGGGAATGAGGAAAATATGGAACCCGAAGAATTTCAGGGAGAGCAGGGATTACAGGGCATTTCGAGCAGATGGGGTGGGGATGCTCTCCTGAGCTACAAAAGGAATGGTCTGCTAGGTAAGAAGCCCACAAGTCAAAAGAATTAGAGTTGCCCACAGTTGGAAATGGTGCCATTCCTGGACCTGAAACACTCGATGGCTTCCACAATGTTCATGCCTTCTTCCACCTTCCCAAAGACCACATGTTTGCCATCCAGCAACTCAGTCTTGGCGGTGCAGATAAAAAACTGGGAACCATTTGTGTTTGGTCCAGCATTTGCAATGGACAAGATGCCAGGACCTATATGCTTCAGGATGAAGTTCTCATCCTCAAATTTCTCTCCATAGATGGACCTGCTGCCAGTGCCATTATGACGTGTGAAGTCACCACCCTGGCACATGAATCCTGGGATAATTCTGTGAAAGGAAGAACCCTTATATCCAAATCCTTTCTCTCCAGTGCTCAGAGCACTAAAGTTTTCTGCTGTCTTTGGAACTTTGTCTGCAAATAGCTCGAAGGAGATGCGTTCCAGGGGCTCACCATGGGCCGTGATGTCGAGGAACATGGTGAGGTTGACTATGGCTTCAGGAAGAGGTGACAGGGAACAGCGGTGTCTGCAAAGGGGGCCCTTTCTTCTTTTTACCTAGAGCATTTTTGCATTCTGTTTACTCAGTCTTAAAAAAAAAAAAAAAAAAAAAAAAAAAAAAAAAAAAAAAAACCTGAATCAAATTTAATTTCATAGACCAGTTTCACCAAGCAGGGAAACTGTGACTTGTATGCATGGACTACAACTATAGCTGAAGATTCACAAAGAAAAACAGCCTATCTCAAAAAAAAAAAAAGAAAAAAAAAAAGATTCCATAAGGAGGCCATTAAAAAAAAAAAAAAAAAAAACATTCATCACCTACGAGTAATACCTTTGAGTTCTTTGAGTTTACCTTTGCCAAAAAACCTAATATACTTCCTTTCTGGCTCCTTACAGAAAGTGTATGTAGACCCAGGATTTAGGTAACAAATACTTCTTTAAAAGGTAAAACCCATATTGTCATTGTTCTATGGCTATAATCCCAAATACTAAGGAAGCCAAGACAAGAGGATTTCAAGTTCAACTCCAGCCTGAACTGTAAAGTATGTTGGAGGTCAACTTGAGCTACATAGTGAGAACATATCTAAATAAATAAAAGAATAGAATAGAATAAGACCAGCATATTAAAAGGCCAGGTCTCTGTAAATGCATTGAGGAACCACCTTAGCACTTGCCGCTATCCCACAGAAAACCCCTCAGTTGATCCTTTCTCCCTTTTCTAAAACAGATCTACAGACAGATCTGGTCATGTCTCCCACCCATCACTAGTATTTACCAGCTTGTCACCTCATTAGGTGTCAGACACTCTGGCAGGAGATGAGCTTGGTGTCACCTGGCCCTCACCTCCGAATAAGTGCCACGTTTTTCTTTCTCAAACCTGCTTAGAGCACTGATATAAAGACCTGCCACTGCCCTACTGTTGTCTCCAAGACCCTTGGGGTTCTGTACTTATGGTCCAGTCCTTACCATGCTTTCCTATTGGATTCTCCAAATACTGTGTCTTGCTTCAGTAGCCAAAAAGGAAGCCCTGAGAAATGAAGGTCTATCTTCTATTTTCTGGGCTCTGTTACTTGCCTGATGTGGCCAACAAATTACCTTATTTGGTTTTAGTTCCATTCCCATGTCTGTGCTACACACTGCTCTTTGGAATGTGGCAAATAGCTGAGAATCCTTGGGAGGTGACAGTCACTAACTAGGGGATTCAATTACAAATCATTCTAAGTTGTTGGTTTGGTGGTGATAGTTGATGGCATTACTTCTAAATTAGAATATCAAAGACATGAAAAATATAAGTACATTTTAAGGCAAGGATAGTACTCACCAGAAACTAAGGTATAAACTTTCTGACAGCATTCTTACAGATGGCATGAAAAATGTACTTGACCTTAAGGTAAATTTTTTTCCAAGGCAGTGATTGGTTAATGAATAATTAGATTGATTAAGCCTATATATATGCACAAAATGCCTCTACTAAATATTCATCCATCTAGTTTTATAAATATAACTCTAAGTGGCTTTAGATTAGTTCCTTTATCCTGGTTGACATGGCAGATAAATCATAAAATGCTCCTGATAGTTACAGGCATTTTGTAATCACCCCCAAGCAATTCCCTGTAATGCTACTGTTATTTTATGTCATTGCTGAACCCAGTTCTTATTTTTGGTCTACTACCTGAAGAATTCTAATCTCTCCTGTCATAAAAAAATAAAGCTTTGGTGATTTCTTAGTAATTTTCCTCAAGGATATTTCCCTAGGTTGTATCATGCAGAAAAGTAATTATGATGCATATTGTTTAATTGTAAATCCATGTTTTGTGTTGAAATTATGACTTGAAAAGGGAGTTAAAATAAAGAAAAAAAGTAATCCCTTCTCTGGGGAAGTAGCAAAGCTATGTTGATTTGAGATCTAAATGGTTTTTGTTTCTGTTTCTGTTCCAGCTGCATAGATAAAGAATATGTATAAAACTGTCCCAGACTCTCTTGGTTCTGTTCTATTCACCATGATCCAATTTTATTTCAAGGGTGGGAGGATGAAGCCTCCAATAGATTTGACATGATGAGACCTTAGTTGTAATCAACAAAATATAAAGGAAGGGGGGGAGGAAAGAAAGCAGGAGGGAAGGGAAGGGAAGGGAAGGGAAGGGAAGGGAAGGGAAGGGAAGGGGACAAACCTCTTCACAGATGCTACTAAGAACACCCACATGATCCCAAGGGGCAGGTGGCCATAATGAACCTTCCACCTTAACACTCAGAGCAAATAGCCACCTGCTCTTGTCTACTATGTGGCAGTTAATGCCATCAATGCCTTCTAAACTCACAGGGGAAAATTCTGGGGAAAAAAGATGAAGGCATTTCAAATATATGAAAAAAAAATGAACAAGAATGTAAATTTGGTTCCATCCACAGGCAGTATATTTGTCGAAAAAAAAAAAAAGTATTGCTCAAGGCTTGTCAATGTCAAAGCTCTTTTTAAAATATGCTTCTTAGTGGTCCTACAATATGGTTCCATATATATTATATTCATGCTGTAGGAGAAAATACAAGAAGATAAAGCTATGCCGTAAAAAGATGCACATAATTATGTAGTCACTGACTTATGATGATCCAGCTTACACTGTTAGAGGCCTTATGAATGCTTTATAGATGAGCTTACAAGTTTTGCTCTTCTACCAGTCTACCCATCTGTGGCAATACACTCCCTTGCCATGCTGAGCAATGACAGCAGCCTGTATTGTAAAGACAGATAGCCCACATTCTGTGGTGTACTGTGGTGCTGAGCTGTGAGGTTCTGTAGGTTAAAAGTATCAAGTACATTCCTGAATGACTATATTTTCAACTATGGAACATCTCCTGAGATGAAACAGAGCCCTAAAAATATTGTGAGGTTTTTAACTTGGCATAACATACCTTGGAAGCCTCCCTAGATTCTTGAGGGCAGAGTGCAATGATTAAAACACTCTCTAAGATAGTATCTTCAGAAGGGAGCAAATAAACTTAGCCATTAAATCCAGAAAGTAGAGTTAACTCGGTGAAAGGACCTCATCTTTCAGATGGGAAAATGTGATTGTATACCATTGCTTCTTGAAATTTTAACAGGAAAAAATAGACAACTAGAGCATGTAGAAAACCTAAAGCTAAACCAATCAGTCATCAACTCTGTAAACAGACTTAGCCGTGTGATTATTTTGTTGCTAAAACTGTCACAAAACTGTTGGGAGAGTAGATTGTAAATAAAAGTTAAGTAAAATTTTCATTAAACACTGAAGATTTTTCCTTTGGGGACAATTACTAAGGTCTGTAAAAAGTGTGTCGTTATAAAATATGACTAGATGAAACACAGAATAGCAAAACGTTATTCAGTAGAAGGATGTCTGAACCAAATCATGATTGCACTTATCTTTTGCCTCAGTCATCTCAAACCTAATACTGTATTTGCACAGAAGCAAAATAAAGACTATGCCTGACAAGTTCAAGCCCAGACCCACATAAAAGTAGAAGAGATCAAGTTCATAATGGATAATAATGGATAATAACTCATGCCACACATTCATGTGTGGCATGCATAGCCCCACATACACATCATGAACACACAATAAAAAACTAAAATAATGTCATTCAGCAATAATCAATAGCTATGTAAAATACAAGAAGTCCACATAATCTAATAAAATTAAGTCTTTAGATAGTGACCTATATTTCCATCCAAGATAATGCAAAAAGGCATGTTTTTTCTATTCAAATCAACAGCAGTAAAAATAGATAAGGCACATATCTGACCAAACAACAGATGCCAGGAAACAGATATGCAGAGTAAGAGAATCTAAAATTGACTTAGCTTGTTGGTCAGCTAAATGAATATATGGGTTTGGTCAGCCGATGAATATATGAAAATTATGCCTAGTAGTTTGAACCTGGAATGTCCCCAAATGTTTTGTGTTAGAGGCTTAGTCCCAGAGCTGGTGCTGTGAAGAGGTAAGACAACCTTTAGAAGGTAATATATAGTGGGAAGTCTTCAGGATCTAGAGAAGAGGGTATGGGGCAACTATAGGACTCAAGTCTCTTCCCCTCTCTGGCTACCCCAGTCACAGGGGTAGCCATTTCACTCAGCTAGGACATTTTGCCTCCCTGATAGATGCCTCAAAGAATTGTGCCCATCCAATAATGGAATGGACAGATCAAGGATACAATTGCAAGGTATGGCAAAGCATGGCTTTGTATCAGTTAATTTTCTCATATATTTTTAGTAGAAATGAAAAACTGACTAGCATAAAACCACCTAGAATAGTTGTTAGTACCAGAGTCCAGCATAGGCACATGGGGGAAAACTGACTTTTGCCTGTAGAATTGCAAACCTCATGATTGACAACAGAAGACTAAAGAATGACTCAGTACTAAGGAAATGCAAGTCCTAAATAAAATACTGTTCTGTACCTGCCTGATGAATCTTAAAATTATATTCATCATTGAGTAAAGCTTATAATGTAATGTTGATAATGCAATGTTTGATTTCTGAGCAAAAGTAACAAGAAAAAAAAGCAAAGAAACAAGAAAAAACACTGTAAATACATAAATAAAAGTTTAAGTCTCCCTAATTTAGAGTCTAGAACTAGCAATAGACTCTAAAGCAGACATTATAAGCAAAGATGCCATATATTCATAATATCCAAACAAAGACATGGAAAATATGTTTAAAGATGTAAAAGTCACTCAGAGGTGAACCCTAAAGCGACAGCAAAGTACACTGGACATAACTAGCCAGTGATTAAATGATGCAAAAGAAATATTTCTTAACTTACATCTACACATGAAAACCATCCAGAATGAAATACTAAAATAAAGATGAATCAAAAAGTCCAAAATTGCATCAATGAGCTATAGGATGATGTCATCTGATTTAATATATATATATATATATATATATATATATATATATATATATATATATGAGATACACAGAGAAACAGAGAGAAAAAAAATTGTGTGGGTTTATATACATGCAATAACAGGGCTGAAAGCACATAAGAATACATAAAAATGAATGCATCTCTCTTGAGATTTTAATACTAGCTCAATAACTGGTAGTAAATTACACCATAATAATTAAGGTTGCATATTATTTACTATCTATTTTCAATTGTTTTGATCATTTATACAACCCTCTTCCCAACAACAGAATGCACATTTATTTTAAGTGGTTGCAAAACATTTGCCAAGTAGAATATTTACCCTATATGCCATAAAACACCTCTCATATACTTAAATAGACTTAAATCACACTCTTTCTCTAAACACAATGAAATTAGCCTGAGAATCAATAATAGAGCAGTGTTTGGTGAATTTCTAAACATCTTGTAACCAAATCACACACTTCAAATTAACCTATTGATCTAGATCCTTGGGGGAATCATCTAGACTCTCTCTGTCCAGCATTACTCCACAACAAAACTATAAAAACATTATATGGAAAGAAAGCTACATTCCAACATAGCTCATGAATACACATGCCAGGGTTTTAAGCAAGGTTTTTCCAAGTAAAATCCACCAAAATATTTGAAAGGGCATTATATTGTGGCAAGCAAAGTTTAAAAATGTCTTCAAAAGTCTCATCAGCTACTGTGTTACATCCATACCCTATGTAACCTCTCCTGCCTGAGTGTTGAGAATGCTTTCAATTAATTGACAGATCAAAGTGTGGATGAGGTGGTGGTGACCTGGAATTCTTCACACTACCACAGTAGTAGAAAATGATGCAAATGTGAAAACAGGCTAGCAATTCCTTATGTGAGTAAATAAGCACCAGACATAAAACCAGGCTATTTAATTCTTAGATGTTTCCCGGAGAAAGGCTTGCTCTTTCCCAAGCAAGAGATGTACCCCAGTGTTGACGCAGCCCTATTTTTAAACAACCAAACACTGAACTGAATTCAGTTCATCCGTGAATGCTTATCCGTGAACCCATGCACAAACAAATGGATGTAAGTGCACATAAGGCTATGTCACACAATAATGAAACAATAAGTGTCTGATACGTGGCACTATACCCAGGTTTCAAAATATTTCACTAGATGAAAGAAGCCAGACAAAACTAAACTCATCAGTGGCGTAACTCCATTTTATGAAAT